AATTGTTGAAATTAATGAATATGGATAATCTTTGAAAAATCATAAACTATAAGACAAACTTCGTAACCGAAAAGATATACCCTGAAAGAAAAAAAATATCCTAAAATACAAGAAGAAAAAGCACAAAAATTCTTGCAATGTTCTGCAACCTCCCACCTTGCACGCGTCTTTGCCCAGCTCGCCTCCAGCACACAGCATGCCGGGGTGCAGTCTGTACGAAGGCCCGAGCCTCGTCTGACGCAGCCTAGCTTGGCACTCTCCAGGCGGTATCACCAGCAGGTCCGTTTCCTGAGACAGAGGGTAGTATTTAATCTCTCTGCTATATCTAGTTCGTTGGTATATACATGAACAAAGAATATACAGATACATATATATAATGTCTACGTTATCAAATCGTAAAATTACATAACATTCCCGAAGTTTCAACTCTTTCTCTCCTTGCGTACAGCAGCCTCTCTCACCTTCAGAATACTCTGGTACTGGCCCTCCTCGCCGAAGCCGTCCTTGCCCCAGCCTGTGATCCAGCAACGACGCCCTGTGAAGTCTTGGCTCCGGGCGGGAAGGCACACCGGCGAGATATGGGGGCTGAGAACAAGCGAGGAATTAGTCAAAAGATTGTCTTCCTGAGTTAAATCGACGATACAGTTTTTGTTTTATTTACCTAAATACGAAACGATGTTCTCTACAAGTTTTATATTCTCCTATATAATTCGCTCCACACGTCTATATTATGAACAATCTGATACATCAAATAACAGTGACATATATCTTTGATACGTCCGTCTCCCTTATAATAACCCACAAGCCACACTCACTTTTTAACGAAGTCAACAGGGACGGTCATCCTGACGACGGCGATGTCGTTGATGAGGTTCCCCGAATAGAAATCAGGGTTAACAAATACACCATTGACATCACTCTCGACGTGGGTGTAGAATTCGGTGTCACTGTTCACGTCCCACTCGCCGACTCTTACCCTCAGTTCAATGGCATCATATCTGAACGAGGAACAAAGCACTTAGTTACAAAGTTCATTGATACACGGACCGCAGAACAAATATGCAGCACAATGAAGTTAGTTTTGTAATGCCATGTGGATGATGTGGTGTGTGTTTCGTTTAAGAGTCAGACTGAATGTATCTGACCGAAGAAACGCCATTTAAATATGATTTTCAATCCCACTGTAGTAACTTGTGAAAGACATGTTTTTCTTCCCCTTTTGCTACAGAGTAAAACGCTTATATTCTTACAAATTCTCAGCACCATCAACTAATAAACCAGTCAGTCCTCCAGGCGTTTCTCTACATAGCTTGACACACCGTTACCAAATACTCTATTTACACACAAGTCACTGGAGGAAAACCCTACCCTTTAACACAGTGAGCAGCTGTTAGCACGTGTCGGTCGTCTATAAGAGTTCCTCCACACACATACACGTTGTCAACCCCTTCCTTCTTCAGAATTGCGGCTTGCCAAGGGTACTCGCCTGGGGAGAGGAGACGGAACATTTTCAGAACGCAAATGAAGAAAATAGCGCACATTCTGATATTAATCGTGTTGGTGGTGGTGGTGGTGATGATGATAGTGATGATGATGGTGATGGTGATGGTGATGATGATGATGATGATGATGATGATGATGATGGCGAGGAGGAGGAGGAGGAGGAGGAGGAGGAGGAGGAGGAGGAGGAGGAGGAGGAGGAGGAGGAGGAGGAGGAGGAGGAGGTGGTGGTGGTGGTGATGGTGAAGATGAGCTGGAGGAAGTCGACGATGAGGATGGCGTGATATGATGAAAATATCAATAATAATATCATCATCAATAATGCCAACAGCAATCAAAATCATTATAAAAATCACAATAAAAGCAATGACAATACTAATCACGCACCAAAACCTAGCAACCTGCCACAAAGTTTTTTTCCGACTAAAAGCTCTTTATAAACGGACGACAAAGAATAAAAAAATAAATACAAGTAGCTTTCTCACCGACTTCACTTCTACACAAATGGACAAAAAAATCCCCCTCCCCTTAAAAAATATTAAAAAAAAACTAAATAAAAAAAAACGTACCGAATTCAGCATCCCCTTCCTTCTGCAGTGGCTGTCGGATTCTCCCGTTGATGCCCTCCGTGAGCCTATAGCCGCAGGTCCCAGGATTAGCGAAGGAATTGAAGGAGGAGGAGAAAGCGCCCTGGAATATCTCAGGGTTGCAACACACCTCGAACAGGGCGCACTCGGGGGAAGCGAAATCACGCTGGAAAAGCATGGAATTCGATGTCAACTTTACGAAGGTAATGGCGACACCCAACTGGACTTTGGAGATCGAATAAGCGTGGAAGATAAACAGCATCGGGTTCGAAGTCATTTTCCAAAAGGAATAATTGCGTTAAGAATGCCTTGTAAGATCAAATAGAGGTTAGCATTTTTTTTTTCAAGAGTAATATTTCGATTAAAAAAAAATAGTCTCTTAATACCAGGTAAGCTTGAATGTAAAGTCAGACAGAAATTCATGTAAGAGAAGTTATCGTAATAGTAATGAATTCGATGCTTCATGATTATTTTGTGAAGTAATGGTTATCATTGTGTCAAGGTTAATGTGTTAATGTGTTACGTACGTGAAAACTGTGCCTCAAAATCGCATTTCAAGTTTATAAGTAAAATTACAATAAGAAAATCGAAAATAAAACAGGGGAATTATATATATATATATATATATATATACAGAGAGAGAGAGAGAGAGAGAGAGAGAGAGAGAGAGAGAGAGAGAGAGAGAGAGAGAGAGAGAGAGAGAGAGAGAGAGAGAGAGAGAGAGAGAGAGAGGGAGGGAGAGAGAGAGGAGGGGGAGAGAGAGAGAGAGAAAGAGAGAGAGAGAGAGAGAGAGAGAGAGAGAGAGAGAGAGAGAGAGAGAGAGAGAGAGAGAGAGAGAGAGAGAGAGAGAGAGAGAGAGAGAGAGAGAGAGGGGGGGGGGGGAGAGAGAGAGAAAGAGAGAGAGAGAAAGAGAGAGAGAGAGAGAGAGAGAGAGAGAGAGAGAGAGAGAGAGAGAGAGAGAGAGAGAGAGAGAGAGAGAGAGAGAGAGAGAGAGAGAGAGAGAGAGACAGACAAACAGACAGACAGACAGAGACAGACACAGAGAGCGAATAAGCGCCACCGTAACAGAATTCTGACAGAATTAAATCCCTCTTTCACCATAACCGGTATAGGAATTGCACAGTTCCACCGAATGTATACGAGACCCTGTTGATGGAATCGGAATGGTAGAAAAAATGGTTAAAAAATGTCTTATCCGCATCTCTGATTACCTGTATAGTTATTGTTGACTAACATAACACTCATCTTACATTTATGAAAAGCTTTACACCCATCCTCGATTAGCTGTAAATAAATAAAATAACTTAGAACCATTGAATTAGCATAAATTGTGCTTATGGTACTATAGCTGTTAGTGATAATGATAATATCAGTTGAGAAAAAACAAGATTTTCGTAACTTAAAGAAATATGCGAGATATCGTTCCCTTCCTTTGATTAAAGTCATGAACATCAAGTCAATAACGACACGTTATCATGATATTGTCATTATCACTGGTATCATAATATAAATGATGTGTGTGTGTGTGTTTGTACGTGTGTGTGTGTGTGTGTGTGTGTGTGTGTGTGTGTGTGTGTGTGTGTGTGTGTGTGTAAACAACGCGCGCGTTTGTGTGTGTGTACATGTAATCAATCAGAATATCTTCTTTTTAAGGACCACAAAAGACAGGTGAGCTCTGCCTGACTCCAGAGCGTCGCATTGAGGACTTTACCTGGCAGTAGTAGGCGAGGCCCCTGCAGTTGGCGTGGCGGCAGAGCCTGTCCTCGCCGAGGTAGCCGAGGGGTGGGAGCGGCCGACGCATGCCGTGAGGAGGACGAGGAGGAGGAGGAGGAGGAAGTCCATGCACGAACGGAGGCCTCAACCGCAAGGGGTCATGCAGCACGGGCACGCCTAACCTTCTGTCCAGTAAGGTCCCATGTCGAAGAGGTCGCAGGGAGGAAGGAGGAGCGCCCGGGGGAGGGGGAGGGTGTCGCAGGGGGGAGACAGGAAGCCCCAGGCGAGACAAGCCGAGAGGTGAGTGAGGAGGAGGGAAGGGCTGTAGAGGATTCAGTCTTTGCAAGCTCGAAGGATGAGAGGAAGAAGAAGAAGAAGAAGAAGAAGGAAGAGGAGAAGTGGGTAAGGATCCTAAGCGTGCAGGAGACGTTTCGGAATATGGGTGGGGCTCGGTGGTTGCGTGGGGCGAGGGCGGAGGATAGGGGGCGGGAAGGGCGTAGTGAGGAGGATGAGGATGGTTAGAGAGTCTCAGCGTTACATCAATGGGGAGGCTACTCAGGAAGTCGCCCACCTCGCTTATGAGACGCGGTGAAGATGGGTTTCCCTCCCGGTTCCCTGCCACCTTGAGGAACAATGTAGCGGGCTTGTTACAGTGGCGTAAGCTCTTACACTTCCGCCTTTCGATTAATCTTTCTTAACTCTTATTATTTTCTTTTAAAGATTGTCAAATATCAGTATAATCACGAGAAACAAATATTTCAATGCAAACACTACTACGCTAATGAACAGAATACGTATATAAAAGAAATTCTGCTTGTGCGTGAACTGGCCAGCTGGCGTAAATATATTAAAGCTTTACCGGTGCGAGTGCGACATTACTGCTACGCTATTTGTGTATAATACAGAACAGAAAACACAGCTAAATTGCTTTTACATTTGCTAAGTGTTAAGTAACAGATAACTTCGAAGAATAATTTATAAACAGATACAGTGTCTACTATGACTATGGCACTATGTATGAAAGATGTATCTATGGTGTGTTCACGAAATTGATATCTGTAGTGTGTTTTGTATAGTGATTATAATTCATTAATTCTGACTTTCTAAAGTAGAATCAAGTTCGAAATGTGTATATGTGAGATATATATACATATGTGTAAAAATAACAACTACCTAACCGTGTTAAAAGAGAGCCTTATCATTACGAGAATTATAATTTAACTTAAAGTATTATGAATCCGGGAACTTGAACGATGAACCCGACGACGACTTGGGCGAATCGGACGCGCGCGTCGAGAAAGTCACCTTGGAGGACTCCGAACGGTCAAACTTACTCGACGACGAGGGAAAGAAAGAGGAACTCGGTGACGATAACGAGGACGAGGAAGCGAGAGGCAGTGGCTCGTCGTCATCCAGACGGAGATCAGAACGACCAAAGCCTTGCAAACTAGGAACAAAGCCCCCGGAGGTAAATGGGCGAGAGGAGTCGTGGTCGTGGTCGTGGTCATGGTAGTGGGTGTGCTCGTGGTGGTGGACTTGGACCGGTTCATCGCCATGGAATCCCGAGATGGGCCTGTGAGGGATGTGGACGGCAGGCGAGAAGTCAGCCACGGGGGCGACATAACCCGGAGGTTTGTGGTGTTGGTTGCTGTAGTCGGCAATGGGCTTGACGGGCGGGGTGTATACTGGCGGGGTGTATATTGGCTTGGGTGGGGTGTATATTGGCTTGGGTGGGGTATACACAGGTTTAGGGGGGGTGTACACAGGCTCAGGAGGTGTATATACAGGAGGAACGGGTTGCTGTGGGTAAGGGTTGTACGGAGGATTTGGATAGGGTACAGGGACTGGATAGGGACCTGGGACGGGACCTGGGAGGGGACCAGGGATGGGACCGGGATAGGGACCAGGAACAGGACCGGGATAGGGACCAGGAACAGGGCCGGGATAGGGACCAGGGTATCCGCCTCCAAACTGATGTTTAATTCCTTCTTTCAGACCATTGAGCGCGTGGACACCCTTTGCATTGGGAGTCACTAGGAGGTCAAACGTCGGGTTTAGGATCGGCCTCCCATCGAGTTTCGCCACTTTGAATCCCACGAACGGGTTTACGGACACAGGCCCGAGATCGAGTCCCAGCGGATTGCCACCGTAAGGGCTACCATAAGGCCCATAACCACCACCCGTCGGTAAACTCCCAAAATTAACCCCAAAAGATGGCACAAACGCTGGGCCTTTGAGACCATCCAAACCACTCCCACTACCTAGACCACCTAACAGTCCGATTAACCGCTGTAAGGGAGAGTGATACTTAATGAAAGATGACAATGATAAAGAGGAAAATAAAGTATATACACCATACCAAGGGGGATACATTCATAATGGAAGATCTGCCACGGAAATGATACAAATAGGATATACCAAAAGTGCAAGTGGAAGAATTTTCTTTACTACTTGTGATCTTGCGTTTGCCATCCAACTGTTATAGCCGATGTCAAGTGATATCTACAGTAGTTCTTTTTTTTTTGGTGTTTGTGGGTACAAACGGTGAATTCTACATATATACATTGCATCTCAATTGAAGCCAATACAAAAATCGAACGTTAACTAAAAGTAAATTCTACAGATATAATATATAAACTCTACTATAACAACAACGGGAAACAAAAGTTTCACAAGTACGTTATGTCAGTGATGAACAAGTGCAGGTGTGAACAGGGCTGCCAACTGCAGGAAAACTTACTGTCGCAGGGTCATTTGAATTCTCCGAGGTTTGTCGAGTGACTCTTATCTTGGCGACACCCGTGTCTTTGCAACCCTTAAAAACAAGCTCTTTCTGAAAGATGCAACATGAGGGAAGAACTCATCAGTATACTTAATGGAGAGATGTAAAAATAACCCTTCACCAAATGAGTCTAGGCTTAGCTCTATCTTACGTTTGAGATTAACTCCTGGCGGTACTGGCTGGTGACATCCTGTATGACTCCTAAACTCTGGCTGCCGTCGAAGGGGTCAGTCGCCCGATCGGGAGAGACAGCGATCGGGACGGGAGTGGGAGCACGCAAAGGCGACCCGGATGTAAATGGTGCTGGGTTGAAGGGAGCGGCGCCCTGCTGCTGGACGGCCAAGTCGGCGGACAGTGTTTCGAAGGCAGAGTCAGGAGGGAGACGAAGCTGGGAGAGATCGATGTTGAGAGGGTTCAGTTGGGAGTTGTCGGGAAGGGCGATGATCTCGTCTCCGAAAATCTTGGTTGGATCTGGGAATAATTCTCGAGTCTGCTGTGTTGCCTGTTCCTGCGTCGCCACGGCAATCTGATCTTCAATATCGTGGGTGTCTCTCCTGTGTCGATCGGCAGTTGACGCATTGGAATAAACCCTGCCTGCAGAGGGGGAGTTCCTGGGGTCCTGAATGTTACTGAGATCCTCCCGGGCAAAAGGCGAAGAAATGACCTGACCCGCCGGACACTGCTCCCTGGGAACGCAGGTGCAGCCGAGATCCCGCGGCCTTACGTCCCGAACAGACTCAGCCAGGCGAAGCTGCTCAACAACGCCGTCCACTCCGATGTTGTATTCCCCGGCTGGAGCTCCAACGACGCTGCCAAGTACCGTAGGGAGTGAGCTAGGTGTAAATCCGCCGTTCTTTTCAATTTCCTTTTGATCAACGAGGATGTTGTTTACAGTGTCTCTTCTAAAAGGCGTAGAGGAGAAGGAGTTATCTGATCCGGAGAGGACATTGCTATCATACCCTCCTCCTATTCCTCCGCCAGTGCCTGATCCAGGTATGAGGTTGTTGCCATATCCTCCTCCTCCTCCTCCTCCTCCTCCTCCTCCTACAAAGCCACCAAAGCCGCCTCCGTTGCCTCCATCCAGTTTGTATACATGTTGATGGATATGGACGTGTTTGATGGTCTGCCCGCTATTTCCTGAATCCAGATTTCCGCCGACGACTGACGGAGCTGCGTACGACGGAGCAGGCGGGGCGCTGTATGATGGAGAGGGGGCCGCGGGGGCTACATAGGATGCCGAAGGGGCTGGAGGAGCACTGTACGATGCCAAAGGGGCTGGGGGAGCACTGTACGATGCCGAAGGGGCCGGAGGAGCACCATATGATGCAACAGGAGCCTGGGGTGCACCATAAGACGTCGACGGGGCCTTAGGTGCTCCGTATGATGTCGACGGAGCTTTGGGTGCTCCATACGACACTGATGGGGCCTTGGGTGCTCCATATGAAGTCGACGGGGCAGGAGGGGCACCATAGGAGGTCGAGGGGGCCTTAGGAGCGCCATAGTGGGAGGGAGCCTGCGCCGCTGGATACCCCGAGGAACCGCCATAGTGTGAAGTGGAAGCTGGGGCATATCCACCTCCACCATGACCTCCGCCATGGCCTCCACCGTGACCTCCACCATGGCCTCCGCCATGACCTCCACCATGGCTTCCACCATGGCCTCCGCCATGACCTCCACCATGACCTCCGCCATGACCTCCACCCTGGCCTCCTCCCCCGTAGCCGCCACCTCCGCCACCATGGCCTCCTCCTCCACCGCTACCATGATAAGCAGGCAGCGCAGGGATGGGCTTCCCCACGGGGCGAATTTCCACAGGCTGGACGTACTGTACCTCGTGGATATCAGCCGGTTTCCCGTAGTGGTGCGAGGCTGGTTTGTAATCCTTATCGCACTGGTACGATATTCGTTATGTTGGGGTTAGTAATGGCAATCCTTACACAGACCGCTAAAGAGGCGCTTCCTATATATTTGTTTGGTATGATATTTACAGCTAATGTGAACTAAATGATTTTTAATATTAGCTTTTCTATAGCTATAGGCTGCAAACAACCATCACCAGTTACGTCTGGTGACTTGTACAAGAATTGTAAATTATAACAATAATAATTATAATAAATACAATAAATATAAATCGAAGATGTATTAATTTTATAGTTCTAGTTTTAGTGTTCCTGGATATTATCAGACTTGATTACAAATGCAGTTGTTTTTAAAAATACGTTAATTTATTACACTATACATCCTGTTCTCTATTTACTTAACCGTTCTAAAAATAACTTTTTACTGAAGCTATCTTTCACCCTTTTAGTCTCTCAAATAGGCCTACAGTGTACCCTATTTCGTTTCTCATTGGGTTAGATTAGAAAGCCTTCTGGATAGGCCTAGATTTTATTTCATTATCATTATTTTTTGTCTTCTTTTTTAGATTCTAATGTCCAAGCTAAACAAATGAATGAATATTAATGTCATGCTATTTCTCCTGAAAGTGATTTTCCTTTATATTTTTGCCCAACTCCACTAAATTCTGCATCAGAATATTTATTTTTATAAGAATTCTGAATCAGTTGCATCCTTAACACATATGCAACAGACATTGCTAAGTAAAATTTGAGTCTTCTTCAATACGGCCTTCAACCTATCTCGAATCTAACCCGCCTAGTCTCATAATCCCAAAAAATCAAAATGGCTAAAGGTGAACAGAAAATAAAACTTACGTTCAGTCCGAGGCCAACACTGCACAGTTTCTTCTTGAGACTTCCAATGAATCGAGGTTCAGTTTCGTTAACGGCAAGCTGCGGGATGGACTTCGCTTCTGCTGCTGTCTGGACTTCATCCTGTGGGAGAGTGACATGGAGTTTTCGTTTTTTTATATGTAGGATAGCGGTATACATTTTTTTTCGTGGTGGTGGTGGATTGTGTGTTTTTTTCGCGTGGGATATTGGTTTAGTTTTCTTTTTCTTTTTTTTAAGGGGAACTATGACTTATTTCGTGGTTCCGCACTGGGACAGCTGCTTAAATGTCGTTGTATTCATATTGTAGGATTCTTCATTTTTAAGATTTTAAGAGATGAATGTAATCTATTTTACCATACCTATGTCTTTTGAAAAGGACTATTTATTATGGAAATTTGCTTTTCACTCCTCGCGAAATAAATGTGTTCAGTGTCGGCTTTTTACATATCTCCCCCACACTCGCCACCACACAAACTCCAACAAAACACTATACCATATACGTACAGGCGTGGAAACAGAAGTCGAAGTTGAAGAGGAGGTAGTGATGGTCGAGCTGGACGTGACGATAGACGAGGCCGACGCCGGAGGCCGAGTCGACCTGTCCTCAAAGCGCCACGAGGCTCCTGCGGGCGGCGCGGCGAGCAGCAGCGCCGCCGCGGCCACGACCACCGCCCGGCGTAACATGCCTGAAAAAGAAGTTCGTCTTATAATACAAATCCTTGCTTGCCTAGTCCTATCACCGTCATTATTATCATTATTCACATTCCATAACATCATTAATGGTACAGCCACTTGATGTTTTAATGTACATATGGTGTAATTGGCAATCCTAATACAATTAATCTCAGGCCTGTGTTTTGGTTGTTCCACGGGACTATGCTGAGCTTATCTTTTCAGTCATTCCTTGTATACACATATCTTTTTCTTGTGAAAGTTTAAAGCCTTATATTTTTTATTTACACCTTAATATGGACAGGAAAAGGAACGGAAATGCATAATGAATTACTCATACGTATTTTATACAAGTATAATTAGAATCCACTGCCTTATACTCTTGCACTGAAAGATTGCTTCATATTCACTCGTTAGAATCGAAGCATGCTTCTTTCAGTCAGTCGAGAAATTAGAGAGGTGGTTTGACATTTCGGAGGGAACTCAATTTAAATGTTTTCGCTTCATAAACTTAAAAGGAGTGATGTAACTTAACTCCATATTGTGAAAAAGATGATCCCTGGATACTACTAATAAATACTATATTGTAACATATTAAAGTGTCGGGTGTCAGAATTTGAAGCCGGTTTTTTTTTAAGTTTTGACCGTGAAAGCATTTTACTGATGCACAGACTTGTATTAACAGAGGCAGTTAATGAAAGTGATCTTGTTAAAGGTTATTTGTAACACGCTAAAGTAAACGTAATGTCAATTCCATTAAGATTTTAACCCACACATTTTGAAATAGCGAGACCTTCCGTTTGAATGCAATCTTATATATATAGCAAGTGTGGATGGGACACATGAATGCCATCCCCTAGCTTTGCTTTGTTTTTATCATTAATATCATCAGCATTATCATTGTTCTCGTTTGCCGGCATCATTATTACCTTATGCTATCACACCAACACACCAGCAAAATGTCGCACTTTCCTTCCTCCACAAACGGATAGGGAATTTTCTCTGCTGCGTAGAATTTCTCGAATATCACACGCCTCATCTCCCTGACATGTTTTCGGCACATCTCAAGGAGGCGGCACAGACGTCTTGAATGGTTAACTAGCATTGAAATCACAACGGCAAGTCACCCTATGTGCTTTCACCAGTGATATAGAGCCGTTCGTTCTCGTGGCAGAGATGCCGTTCGTCTTTCTTCAATACTGTTCATACAGTACGCGAAAGTTTTAGATATCCATATATATATGTGTGTGTGTGTGTATGTGTGTGTACATATATATATGTATATATGTATATATGTATATATATATATATATATATATATATATATATATATATATATATATATATATATATGCACATTTTCCCCCTATTTTCATCCATGATCGAGACAAAAAAAAAAAAAAAAAAAAAAAGATACAAAATAACTGCCAATAGGCCTTCTCCCTAAAATAATATTCATACTCAACGCCGCGTAATTATGACATTAATATCCTTGAATACCAAAGGAGTCACCAGCTGACGCCAATGGCCACTGGCAGGAGGCGCTTCGCTTCGTTCTGAGTTCCAGGCTTTTAACACCTGTTGGTCAACTTTCACACTCTTCTTCTTCTACTCTTAATTTTCCGTTGATTTTCGCCTTTCTTTCGTTATATTTTCTCCTCTCTCCCTTGTCCTAATTTTCTCTTTTCCTGGTGAAGTACAGTTCCTCTGATACAGGACTTTCAGTGATCGTGAACCCATCATTAGAATGTGTTGAGGTTTTAAACTACTAGTTTTTTTGTTCTTCCCCTGTTTTTATTATCTTTATTTACCTCTCTTATTTGTCTTTTTTATTCTTTTTTTTGCCTTTTCGCTGAGGTAGAAGTGGTTATTCAGTTAAGTAATATAGATATATATTTCTTACAGTATCGGTTGACAACGTGACAGCTTTTTATCTTCGAGAACCGCCACATATTAGCATTTCCTTAAGTATAAGAGATGTGTGTGTGTGCGCGTATGTGTATGTATACACACACACACATATATATACATATATATATATATATATATATATATATATATATATATATATATGTATATAAATATATATATAAATATGTGTGTGTGTCTGTGTGTGTGTTTATACACACGTAGCGTGGACATAAAAGACAGTAACAAGAGCAGCTGAAACTGAAATTTATGTTCCTTTCAACCCCTTCATTTAGGTCTTTCACTGCAGGCTGACAGCATGCAATCACGGACGCGCTCAAGACGTGAACCAGTTACAAATGAGTTATTGCTAACTTCTGCCAAGACCTTTGTTGCGAAGATTAAGAGTAATTTAGGTGTTTGAGGTAATCGTGTGAACAAAATATCACGAAAAGAAATGGTATTTTATATAATAATTTGTTCTTTCTCGAATATCGATCATGTGAATAGGCAATGTACAGTGTAGAAAATAACATGTTTATTGTTCTTATATTATCATATACATGTTTAAGTTACACATATACTAGTAAAATCCTGAAGTCTCTC